TGTTGATCTATCTCTGATGACTTTGGCACTTCCTCCCTTTTTGTATTAAGAATTTATTGAAGCATAACAAAACGTTTCACTCAATGTGAATGTACAGTCCAATGAAATTTAGTTACAGAGTTGTGAAGCCATCAAGAGAGACCATTTCCATTGCCCCAAAAGGAAACTTTGAGCCTATGATAGTAAGGGCCCACTGCTGCCTTCAGCTCTAGAGCCTCTTCTTTCTTTGTGGATTTACCTTTATTAGTAATATATATAATTACATATAATTGTAATTATACAATATTTATATCTGCTTCTTTCATTTATCATAATATTTTTGAAGTTCTTTATCTACACTGCCACAGACATTAGCTGCTTATTCCTTTACATTGCTGAGTAGTATCCTACTGTTATTATTTGGGCATACCACAATTTATTTACAGGTTGAGAGACATTTTGGATCATTTCAAATTTGAGGCTCTAGTTAACAATGTTGCTATGAATATTTGTGTATATGTCATTACATTTTTATTAATCTCTGATGGATTCCTAGGAGCAGAATTTGAGGGTTGAGTGCTAAGGTTATGCTTAGTTTTTTTTTTTAAAGAAATTGCCCAAATTCTATCTGTCCAATTGTGCATTCCCTACTAGCAAGGAACAAGGGTTCCAGTTTGTCCACATCTTTGCCAACACTTGGTATTATCTATCATTTTTACTATAGCCATTCTAGTGTGAGCTTAATGGTATCTCATTGTAGTTATAATTTGTACTTTCCTAAAAGATATTGATCATCTTTTCATGTATTTATTTCCCATCTGGGGTGAATTATCTGTTACAATACTTTTGCCTATTTTATATACTTCTTTGTCATCTTATTGAACTGTAAAGTTTATCTCATTTTAAAACCTTGATAAGATTTTAATTTTGTAAATCTAATGTTAAACACGAACAGATGAATAAGATGGTAGCATTCATGGGATCATATAGTTCCTGGAAAGTTTTCTTAAATTTGTTGTTAGTATAAAGGTTATACTCAGAGGGGTTATAGTTATATAAGTTGGATAAATAGTACCTTTCTTTTTGGACAATGTCACCCCTTCCCTTGCTCTCTCCCAGTTTTTCCTGGAAAGGGTTTTATACTTACATGGCATCCTGAGTCCTGGTAGGCAGGCATCCTTCACTTTTAGAAGAACCTATTGTTGCCCAAATATGCAAAATAAGGGGTTCAGGTTAATCAATTCCTTGTCCCTTGGGACAAGGAAGTCAGGGGTACTGGTAGAAACCTGCCTAGGGCCTATGGCAGGGCCTGGTGCTATTCCAAGGTGTGCCTGGAAACAGAATTGCTGTGGAACTTGGACCCAGGCCTTGGACATATGTTTGGTAGTAGAGTTGTGCTTCTTTGCTGTGTCAGAAGCCAGGTGCCCGGGTGTCCGGAGATGATGGTTAGAAGGTCCTGTTGGCTTTGGCTTGGCTTCCTGGCCTTTGGGCATGCTGGATTTCATAGGTGGCTGCTGGCAGCAGGACATTTTGTCTTTTCTCACTTCATAAATATTTCCATCTAGGGCCTTCCCTGTGGCAGAGCAGCTGTATCTCTTCACCCTTGGTGACCCTGCCCTGCAGGACTCATTCCTGCATCTGGCTTCACACTCTGTAGGCTTCTGTGCCTGTGTCTGTAAGCCATGGCAGCTTTCCACCTGCAGAAGTGTGCATCTTCCCTGGGAATCCTTCCTGACTTCTTTGGGCATAGACATCTGCTGATGGCCAGACCAGATGGGCAGTCCCAGGCTCTCATCTGGATAACAGGAGAGGGGAACAGAATGTTTTCAGTTATCTTTCTCTAGACAGAGATAATAGTTTTTATACTATGAAAGGATTTAAGTGTCTCCTGAATATTAAAACATTGCACAAGCCACTTTACATTTGAGTTCTCACCATCCTCTCTCAGAATATTTTGATCTCTCCCTTTCCCTTTGTTAACTCGTAAGACTCCTGTGAGAAGTATTTACACTGTGAGCTCTGCTTCCCGCCCAAAGCAACTAAATGAGCATTGCAGCTGCCAAAAGACTCCACTCGGTGGCTTGTTGAATTCAATGGAACGAGGTGTTAATAGAGTCAGGGGAAGTGATGCTAGTTTAAAAAATGACATTGTGTGGCTCTTTTCTGCATTTATTCTTCCTCTGTGACTTCCAGATCAAGCTCTTTCAGTTTGACATCAAAAGACGCCTATTTGGAATCCAATTTAGGACAATGCAGTAATCAGTGCCGTACCTTCTCTCTTCTTGCTACCTCTCATTCCTTGGGATGATTGTCAGGGTTTGGGGTTGCTCTGGCCCCTATGAGACTTGGGTCTCTGTGTCAGCTCATGACAATAATCAGGTCAGGTGTCACACAGTTGTCAAGTTATGGGTTTCAGCCTTCAGGAAGGGTGTGGTTCTGCATACTCTTAAGATTCCATTGGTCAGCTTGACAGTGGGAGCTCCTGCCTGTAATCCCATCTACCTAAGAGCCTCAGATCTGAGGATCTTGGTTCAAAGCTAGACCAGGCAGACAAATCTGTGAGACTCTTATCTTCAGTGAACCAGAAAAAAGAAAACAAACCAAAACAAACAAACAAGTGGAGGTGTGGCTCAAGTATCAAAGGTCCAGTCTTGAGTGAAAAAACTAAGGGAAAACATGAGGCCCAGGGTTCAAGCCCCAGTACTAATATAAATAAACAAATAAATAAGGAAGTAAATAGGATAGATTCCAAGGGCAGAGATCACAGTTCTATTCTGTGTCCCTCTTCTGATAAGATACAGGGAAGTGAGCCGAGGATACTGGGGTAGAATGACTGAGTTGTTAATGATGGGCTGACTAGTTAATGCCCAGAGAACATAGTGCTCTGTTGTAAATGATGTCTGGGGGTCTTGGGAGAGGAGGAATGGTGTAATCATCAAACCTTGTGAAAAAGTAGTGCTCAGCCTTTCTCCTCCCACTGAGGGAGAAAACAAAGCGAAATCTCTAAATCATGTCTTCTGCAAATGGGTGAGGATACCTGCTCTCAAGCTTCACCAAGGAAGTGAAATTGTTTCTTGGGAGGTTATAAGTGTGGAAACATATCGTTTTACTTATAAACCACAAATATCTATATTTAGCACATGAACAGATATATTAATCTCATTAAAATTTTGCAACAGGGATTGGAGGCATGACTCAGTTGGTAGAGCACCAGCATCAGGTACTGTGTTTGAGTCCTAGTCTCAGACCTAAAAAAAAAAAAAAAAAAGAGGGGCTGGGAAGGTGGCTCAGTGGTAGAGCGCTTGCCTTGCATGCATGAGGCCCTGGGTTTGATTCCTCAGCACCACATAAGCAAACAGAAAAAAGCCGGAAGTGGCGCTGTGGCTCAAGGGGTAGAGCGCTAGCCTTGAGCTGAATTGCTGAGGGACAGCGCCCAGGCCCAGAGTTCAGGCCCCATGACCGGACCCAAAAAAAAAAAAAGAACAGAAAAGGAAAGGAAAGGACATTTTATTATGGAGGTGATTAGGAAAATAATTGGTTAAAAATATGTCTAAATGGGTGTTGATGAAAAAAAGACAACGTGCTAAAGATTTGGGACATTGATGGAAGTAAGTCAGAATCCTGGGAAGTAACAAAACTGGCCCTAATTCTTGACTGCAGAGGTTCTGCAGAAGGAGCTGCCAACACCACTGGAATGATAAGCATTAGGACTTTCCACAGGGAACTCCCCATTCCTGTCTTTGAAATTAGAACTTTGAAAGCCACACTGGGGTAGTTTCTGTGATTTCCCATATCATCTGCCATTTGATTTGCCATACCTCCAGTTGGAAATTGGTGTTCATGCTGCTTCTGTGTTAAAAATGGTCTCTTTGGCTGGGCACTGGTGGCTCATGCCTGTAGTCCTAGCCTCAGGAAGCTGAGATCTGAGGATCAAGGTTCAAAGTCAGCCTGGATAGGAAAGACCATGGGACTCTTCTCTCCAATAATCTACCTACCCCGCCCCCTGAAAATTCTGGAAGTGGAGCTGTGACTCTGAGTTTGAGCCCCAGGATGGACACTTAAAAAATAAACAAAACTATTTTTTTTAAATGATCTCTTTAATGTGCTGGAGAAAGTATTCTTTTCTTCCTTCTTGTCCCTTTTAAGTGAGAAGGAGAAACAGCTAGGATTTTGAAAAGGAATAGCACTCAAGTCTCTTATTTTTCTTAAACTTTTTAATCAGGGCCACTAGAGAAAGATTCTGAGCAATGTGCTGGTGGCTGGCACCTATAATCCTAACTACTCAAGAGGTTGAGATCTGAGGGTGGAGGTTTGAAGCCAGCCTGGATAGGAAAGTCTGTGAGACTCTTATCTCCAATTAATGACCAAAAAATACCTGCCAGTGGAGCTATGGCTCAAGCGGTAGAGCATCAGACTTGAGCGAAACACAAGAATGAGACCCTGAGTTCAAGCCCCAGTATTAGCACCAAAAAAAAAAAAAATCTGAGCCAGTATTTTTCAGAAGAGGATAGGACCAATTCTGGGGACATCTGGTTTTGATGTCTTAAGGACTGCCAGTATTATTCTAGCATACCTGGCCAAAGCTCCAGGCTGCTGGAGAGGAGGCCCCTCCTCATTCTGCATAGGCATAGGAGGAACACAGCTGGCAGAGACATCTGGGTCTCCTCAGATTCATGAGAAAGGGCCCTCTGTCACCATGGGACTAGCATGTGCTAGTGCCCTGGTATGGTGTGCACACACCTGGATTCCTGGATTTGGTTTACTCTTTATATCTCTCTGATTCTCTCTTCTTTTTCTTCCTCCTCCTCCTCCTTCTCCTCCTCCTCCTCCTCCTCCTCTGCTGCTGCTGCTACTGCTGCTGCTTCCACTTCTGCTTCTGCTTCCACTTCCGCTTCACCTTCTGCTTCCTTAGTCTTTTTGTCTTCTTCTTCGTTGGTCTCTTCATTGGGACCGGGCCATGTACAAATCCCAACCATTCAACAGTGCTGGAGAGTAGATAGTATTTACCTCAATAATGGTAGTCTCTTTTCGCTTCTTTCTAACCCTCAATTCAGATGATGGTTCCAAGCCGACACCCACGATGGAGACCCAGCCCATGTTTGATGGAGATGGTAAGTCTGAACTACTTCCAGTTCTCCTTCCAGCCATTTTCAGATTGGGGAAAAGGCCTTACCTTTAAATGGTTGCTTCAGCCTCATTACCATTATTTTCTACTTTAATTTCAATCTTTTTTCCAGTGTAAGCTGAATTGTTTTAACCTTTTAAAAAATATGAAACCTCCAAGGAGTTCATATTGCTACACTCCCATTGGCACAATGCACCTTCCTACTGGTACATGTTCCACTTCTGGAAAGGTCTTCTGCTCTCCTCAGGCTTCCTGTTTCCTGTTGTCCAACAACCACACAGAGCCTGGTCAGACCCTCTGAGCTGCCAAGACCAGGAAATCATGGTCTGAAAAGCCAAAAGGCCAGCAAAGCCAGCAGTGCCCCTTCTGTACCTGAATTAGCACTTTCAAATGTCTGCCTTGTGCCTTACATGGGGCAAGGTCCCTAGGGGATGAGAGGAAGAGTCTATGAATACCAACTTTTACTCTCAAGACAGTGGCAACCCTAGAGAGCTTTGCAGGCTAAATTCTATGGTCTCCATTTTCATTTATGGGAGATAGGGGTTACAGTGATTAGGGAAGAGCATCTGTAGAGAGGTGGGTCTTGAACTAGATACTGCAAAGGAAGGGGAATTCTAGTCAGTGAAGGGGGGGAAACTAGGAGGGAGAGTGACCGGATGGGACACAGAGAAGGAAGTGACTGGTCAGTGGGGCTGGTCTGGCTGGGATTGTACAGACTTGGAGAAGGAGGAATTCTAGTGCAGGTGAAAGAGTACTCATGATAGAATAGAGAGGGATGTCCCTGGAGGTAAGATAGAAGACTTGGGTGCTGAGGTCTGGCCTTCATTCAAGGAGGTGCTCCTCAGGGCCTCTAATCTTCAGGGACTTTCCTGACAACTGCAGATTGCCCTGAGCAAGAACAGGCAGCTTGACAAAGTGAGTTCCAGGAAGCCTGACAAGGTTCAGTGTCTAGGGCAATGTGAAGCAAACACGAAACAGTAGATGAGTGTATCCAGGCCTGGATCATGAGATATAGGACAGAGAGATAAAAGGAAAGAATACCACTGGTTGACCTCACTGCTAAAGATGTTCCTAGAACAGGCTCATCTTTGGGAAGGACTGAAAGGTAAAATATCCTTTGCCATTGGTTCAGTTAGTGGAGCATGGGCGAGTCTGTGACTAAAAATTCAGATGTCTTCATGATTCACAAAGGTCCTTGGTTATTGGAAAATGTGGATCCTGGAATGCTAGGGAGGAAATGGAGATCATAGCATCTTTGGAGACCTGCCCAGAATCTTCACTGAAGGCCTGTCACTCTACAGTATTTTTAGGGCCACTAAAGAACACCAAACCTGCTGTCCATGGGGTAACCAGGTCCTGATTATCCTTGGGGTGACCAGGTCCTGAGAGCTTGGCGGGACCCTCGAGCACTCAGTAAAAGCACTCAGCCTGAAACTTCTCGAGGAAACCGTGAGAAGGGAGTTAGAGCATGTGTTAGATCCAGTCCTTTCTTGCCCATGTGGAGCAGAGACTCAGCAAGCTGAGTCTGCTGTGGTTCAACTATTTCCTCTGAAATGGTCTCTGTGGTTGGTTTGGCGTTTGCTTGTTGATTTACCCCCTTTAAATCTTCTTCCCGGGAAGCAGCTGAGAGGGACTTGGCTTGGCCTGTGTTCCTCACCTCCTGGGATAATATTTTTATTCCTGGATGGAGTGGCTCAGGGCCTCGGGACTCTGACTACTCTGCCTTCCACTACAGGATGCCCTGGCTGGCTCTTGTGAGCCAGTGGGGAGAAGAGCTTCCGTTGTGAGGCATGGAGAAAGTGCTGGCCCTGGGACTAGGGGGCTATGTTATGAGGGTGGTATCGATGAAGCCCTATATCTCAGACTTTTTTTTTTTTAAAGCTTATTAAAAGTCTAGCCGGGCGCTGGTGGCTCACGCCTGTAATCCTAGCTACTCAGGAGGCTGAGATCTGAGGATCGAGGTTCAAAGCCAGCCCGGGCAGGAGAGACCGTGAGACTCCTATCTCCAATAAACCACCAGAAAACCGGAAGTGGCGCTGTAGCTCAAGTGGTAGAGCGCTCGCCTTGAGCTGAAGAGCTGAGGGACAGCGCCCAGGCCCAGAGTTCAAGCCCCACGACCAACAAAAAAAAAAAAAGCTTATTAAAAGTCTCTTACACTCTATGACATATGTTTCTCTTTTCCCAGATCTTCTTTCTCTCTTGAATCTCTCTCTCTCTCTTTTTTCTAGAAATCACAGCTCCTACCCTGTGGATTAAGCATTTGGTAATCAAAGATTCCAAGCTGAACAACACCAATGTAAGAAATTCAGGTAAATAATCTTCCTTGGATTATATAAACCTAAATCAGCCAGGACTCCATTCCCCCATGTTGCTTTATGACTACCTATTATGGTATTTTTTTAAAAAAGAATAAGGTCTTTCTCATGTGACCCAGAACAGCCTTGAACGTGAAATATTGCTGAATTCACCCTCCTAAGGGCTGGGATTACAGGTTATACTACCAAGCCTGGCTTTATTTTGTGGCTTTTAAATCTTGTTGGTCTTTCATTTCTACAGCTATAAAACAAGGAGTTTGAATAAGTTCATCTCTTTCAACTTTAATTTTCTTCAGTTATTCTCTCAGGTAGTTGAAGCTTGTAGCTAAAATAGTATGTTGGCTGTATGTTTTAACATTCTGATCTACGAGTTCTATATGCTATGTGGAAGAGTTTGAAAGAAGAATGGCTGGATGTAAGAAGTTGAACTTTAAGTCTGGAGAGGCCTGCTTTGGTATGTTTCTAAACTCTATGTACAGTCATCTCTTTTCTGATATGATCTTTCGGGGATTTTTGTGAGTGGTCAGGTTTTGGTATGATTTAACTCTGAAGGAAGCCGACAGTTTCTGAAGGGTGATCAGATTTGTAGAATTTATTTGTAGAGTTTATTTACCATTGACAAAGACCAAAGGCAATCAAGTTCATTTGCCATAAATAAAGACTAAATTTCATCCACAGGAAATGTATTAACAAACCAAATCTGTATCTCTTACAGAGAAGATCCTTCTTTCAGCTTCAGTATTTCTCTGTTGTGAGAAATACTACTTTGTATAATTTATGTCTGGTGGTTGAATTTAGCTGTCATGCTATATGCCAGCTCTGTCCTACAGGGGGCAGTGTGGGAGCTAAAGTGCAGGGTCTGGGGCAAGAGGTGAATCCAATAGGAACTTGTGGATTTTATCTGTGACTTGACTGGTCTTCATGTGCCTGACTCTGTTGGGTACAAGATGAGTGTGGAAAGGTAAGATAGATGGAGACAGTGTGAACTCCTTTAGACCAGAGTCTGTGACAGAATAATACAGTGGTCAAAGCACAAGCGTGTGAATCAGCAAGATCTAGGTTCATATTCTGGATCCAACATTTAGTGGTGATTCTATTAACTCCAATAATCCCTGCAGGACCTCAGTTCTTATCTGTAGATCATTTTTCAAATGATTGTAGTTAAAAGTTTGCCAAACTGATGTTCTGAATGGTACTTGACTGAAGCCTGGCTGAGTGACAGATAGTAAGTATATGATAAGTTGTATGTGCATCTATTATAATCATCATTGTTAGTAAGAACAACATAGATCTTAATGATTGTGCTTATTGTGAGAATTCTTCAACTTAGAAAGACTGTCTGATTGGCACATCAAGCAAAGGTATCATCACACAGGCTTCTTCTAAAGATTTCCCTCTTCTTCTCATTACTAATTATGCAAATAGGATAAGCTTACGTAAGAGATGTAGGTTTGGTGCCTGTAGTACCACATGCTGGAAATGACAGTTGCAAATGATCTTCTCTGTCCCTGAGACCCTGCAAGGCCCCAGAGAGAGGATTAATTCTCATTCTGTGACCAAGTGGGGGACAGGACGCTGAATGCTCTGAATGCATTACCTTTTGCTGGAAACACTCACTTGGCATTTAGCAATTGTTTTCAGGAATTTCTTTTCCATCTACTCAGGTTATAGGGTCTGCAAAGGCAAGAGCTTAAATGTCTTTTACTGTCTATTATAGAATATAGCTCAATGGATTCCTTTGCTTCAAGGATGGTAGAAAATCAGACTAACACTGTCATAGTAGCTCATCTTGTCAAATCCTGAAGAACTTTACATTTGTTATCTTAACCAAGCCTCTTTTACCATAATCCTATGAGATAACTATCATTTCTGCCACCATCTTATACAAGAGATAAAGGCAGAAAGAGAGAAGAAGTGACATGACTTGGGTCATAGCTTGTAAGTATTTGGACTAGAAAAAGCTAGTCATATGTGGGAATCAAATACCTGTCTTCTTAAGCTGCATTCTCTGAGTGGATGAATTGGTGATATCAAGTTCTGTTTCCCTTCCCTACTCTGCTTATGTTGCTTCCTATTGGATGAGTATAGGGTCATGCTGAGAGATGGTTCCCAGGTAGATGCAACCACTTCCTTTTTGGAGTGACCTAGCCACCTTTATTGTTTTTCCTCAGAGTCTCAGGTATGTCTGTTTTCACATAGGTCAGGACAGTGGCCAAAGAACGGAGAGTTCCCTGGGAATAACTGAGACCAAACATAATTATGAAATATCAATCCTAGTAATCTTCATCATGGTCACCTGGCCATAATGATTAAGTGCCTGCCAACCTTTTTGATGTAATTATAGATAGAAGACACAGTTTCACAAAGGGCATGTACCAGGTATTTTGGCAAATGAAGTTGTATTGGAATATAGGCACACTCATTTTATCTAATATTATCTGTGGCTGTTTCCATCTATGTAAGTTTGAATGGCTGTGGTAGAGCCTGTATAATGTGCAAGGCTTAAAGTATGGACTTCATGATCTTTTACAGAGAAACTTTGCTGCCCCCTAGCATAAATGATTGACTAGAGGAATTGGATAGGAGTGTGTATATGGGGTTGTCTCTCAAGGGTTTTTGGTCCCTTTGTAGACCAAGCAGAAGTAGGAGTTGTGGCTCCTGAGCTGCTTCTTGACCTGCCCAGGTAAGCCTGCATTAGTACAGGAACTCCCAAGACTGCTCACAAGGTTTCATCATCTCATATGGACCATTCTCAAGCTCTGCCATCTCATTCCCACATGTCCTTGGGTTGCTAAGAAACATCCTAAGGGTCTGGTTTTTGTAGGCAGTGGGGCATAAACCCGTGTAATAGTCAAGTATGGCTTTGGAATCAGATGTACCCACAGGCCCAGTTTCAAAGCTAGCTTCTCACTGATAGGATGGGTGATCTTGGGAGGGTTAAACAACTTCCCAAGTCTTGGCTTACTTTCACAACAAATGAAATAGCTACCTTGAAGGATTTCTGTAAGAATTCATGCAGATATATAATTTTAGGCACATAGTAGGTGCATTCTTGTGACTTAAAAACAAAACAAAGCAATGGCTGCCCCAATAAAGGGTATTTATTTATTATGCTAGTCCCTTTTCACATGTTGGTCCTGTAGGTTTAATGAAGAGTCAGATATACTTTGATGAAAACTTGTATCTGGACAGCTAACTTTGGGAAGGACTGGAGGCTTGGGGGTCAAATGCCTGACAGTGTTTTCTGTAAAAGTTGAATGGAGGATTCTGCATTCAAGCAAATGTCTGATGCTTGTAGGGGAAGTTCGGCCCCAACTCTGTGAAGTCTACCTGGGTGAGAACTCTACTTCTCAACTGTCTCAGAGGAGAAGCAAGAAGGATATTCCAGTTTCTTTTACACCCCAAACATCCTTTTTTCACACTCAGACCCTGTGACGCCAGTTTTGGGTTTTGGCCTGGGGACTGTTGATGTTGGAAATGTTCCACTGGGTGCCTGAAGTTGTGCAATAACATGACACACATGCCTGCAGACATATCCAGTCTCTCCTCCTGGAGGTTTTGGTCCTTGTTTTAAAGGCTTTGTCACATGCTTAAATTATGGGCAATGTCACCCATAGGTGTTTAGGTGTCTACAGATTTGGCCTTCTCTTCCATTCTTATCTCCATTGTCCTTTTCCTGCGTGTACCATGGCATGACCCCCATTCATGGAGCCATAAACCCTTTTATGTGAAGAGGAATATGTACCTGGCCAGCAAACACCCTGGACTCACCATAGATGAAGGCTGGATAGAACCTCTACTGCTTTTATAAGAAAATAAAGCCAGGCGCTGGTGGCTCATGCCTGTAACCCTAGCTATTCAGAAAGCTGAGATCTGAGGATTGCAGTTCAAAGCCAGCCCGGGGAAGGAATGTCCTTGAGACTCTTATCTCCATTTAACCACCAGAAAACTTGAAGTGGCACTGTGGCTTAAGTGGTAGAATGCTTGCCTTGAGCTGAAGATCTCAGGGACAGCACCCAGGCCAAGTTCAAGCCCCACAGCTGACAAAAACAAAAAACAAAACAAAACAAAAACCTGATTTTATACCAGGGATTATCCACCAAGGCATTTTTTGAAAAACTCTTAGAGCTTAAACTGGTTTTTTTAAAAACATTTTTTACCATCTACATTTTATTGAAGAGTATAAAGAGATGAAATAAATGACAAGAAATAAGCTTCATCTCATTCTTTCTCTCCTCTTTTCTTCTCTTCTTTCCTCTCTTCTTACTTCTCTCTTCTCTTCTTTCTTCTTTTCCCCTCTCCTCCCCGTCTTCCTCTTCTCTTCATCTTCCCCCTCCTCTTCCTCCTCCTCCTCTTCCCTCTCCTCCTCTTCTTCCTCCTCCTCCTCCTCTTCCTCCTCCTCTTCTTCCTCCTTTTCCTTTTCCTTCTCCACCCCTTTCTCCTTCTCCACCCCTTTCTTCTTCTTCTTTCCCCTTCTCCCTCCTCCTCCTCCTCCTCCTTATTTTCCCCACATGCACATACACACAGCACAGACTCAGGGCCTAGTACTTGCTCTGTTTCTGAACCACATACTCAAGCCCCAGGGCTCTTCTTTGGCTTCTAATTTGACCATATGCAGACTTTATGTCTCTTTGTGTCTGTATGTAATATATTTGTCTTTTCCCCCTATATGACAAAATTCTGTGATTCCGCCCCAGAGAAATCCAGGGTGTCAAGAAATGGGGTCATGTACATTTCCTTCTCTTCATGCATCACAACAATCTTCCCTAGGCCCACATCTAATAACCCTCTACGCAAGGGGTTGGACTATATCTCATAATCTCTAGTTCAGTGCTTTGATTTTCCCTCTTGTATCCCTATCTCTTTCTCTCCTTTCTTCCTGTCCTTTCTAGTTCAATGGTGATCAGATTGGGAACTTCAAGAAGGTTCTAGAATGTGACCCTGTGAGTTAAACCCAAGAGCACCATGACTTTCCTCCCTCGCCTTCTTGGCCA